TAATGTGAGCAAAAAGACAACAATAGAGAGCCGCTTCCAGTTAGCTCTTGTTCATATTTTCTTGAAGCTCCTTGTTCGTATTATATAATTGAAGCTTACTTTTGATAAATCAGCGGTTAAACTTTTTACGCGCTATTCTTATGCGTTCAAAAGATAAAACCGTCAAGGTAACCGGAACCACCGATTCATTGTTCAATTGATCCTGGAGGCACTACTACTGGTTAAACACGACAGTATCACTGTCTTGTTACTTTCCTCAGAAGTCCAGTTCTGAACTTTTTCCTACAAAGCGAATTACTGTTACACTTTACGTTTATAAAACTCATAAAATTCATAGGTGAATAGTTTGACGACGTTTGAGAAGGAAATTGATAGCTAAAAAACGTTAATGCACGATCTGCAGTAGTGAAAGACCTCGCACACATTCAGATGTTTTTCAACTATGAGAAAAAAGCTCCGTTGATTACATCCTGCTCAAGTGATTTTTTTTTGCCGCTGTATAATAAGATCTAATGGCACGTTGTTGATAATCCCTGCATTTTTTCAGGTGGCCATTAAAAAAATCGGTCATGCCTCCGCTACCCCTACACTGGCACGTCGTACATTACGAGAGATACGCGTTTTACGTCACGTTCAACACGATAATATCGTGTCAATAAGGGATATATTTCGCACACGAGGACCGCTAGGAATCAATGTCTATCTAGGTGTGTCTTCAGTACATTTAGGGACGCCCTCCGTTGTTATCTGCGATGGAAATCGTAAAATTCATCTAACCGTGGTTCTTATCACTTAGGGCTTCTCCAAAAAAAATATAATGTACTCAAATCCAGATGAGCAGTTGCTCTTGTTCTCACTATCAGAGTTAGATAAGAGAGGAGGTGGACAGTAAAAGAAGCAGAGAATTTCATATGAATAATTTTAGTGATGGATCTCATGGAATTCAGTCTTCATCAAGTTATTCATGGATGCTCGAACGAATTGGACGATTATCTGATTAGAAGATTTCTTTATCAGCTGTTGATGGGTCTTCGAGTGAGTGCGCATGTAAAAATCTGACAAAATTTCGAATTTAAATTTCAAAATCTTAAATAAGTTCACTAAGATTGTTTCGCATAGTAGCCGGTCTGGAGTTATGATAACCTTATTGCTACTTTCGTCGCTCTTTTCTCACTTATCAAAATAACGATTTCCAAACTTCCATTACAAATTTCATCATTTAGTTTGACAGTTGTGTTTTAAACGGAGTGGTTGTACTTCTTTTTTTCCTTGCATAATTGTTTGCTGCGTAGGTCTTTTGTACATGCTTTTATGTAAATATTTGAGTTTTCAATTGAGGACAATCGTTTATACCTCGTCGCGCTAATTTCTCGTTTCAATGAGGGCACTTTTGTATTGTCAAATTCCCTTTATCTAGGCCAGCATGATGCAGTAAATGTCATACATAATTTCCCTTTCTACTGTTAAATCGTATTCGGATTGGATAGTTAGAGAGAGATTGCTCGAAATTAACTTTCAATCTTGGCATAATTCAGATTTTTAAAATCTCAAACTGATAAATTAGAAAATGTTAAGCTATTCGAAATACGAGAGATCACATATGATCC